ACAGATCTACAGACAAGGATGTTCACTGCAGCATTATTTATAGCAACCAAAACTTGGCACCAACCCGCACATCCGGCTGAAGAATGATCTGGTAAATAACGGCGCGTTGCGCATTGGAATTCTCTGCGCGACCGTCAAGCGTTAGATTGATGTGGAGAATCTGCTGACAGGGAAAATCGTTCCTTACATAAGGTCAGGTGGGGAAGACAGCAGAATGCAAACCTATCTGTGCAAGAGCATCCCCGCATGGGTGATTAAATAAGATAAAGCACTAGCCTGGCAGAGGGCACGGTGAGGGCCCGGCCACCATCACGCTGCCAGTCAGGGTGCTGAGCTCGAGCCTCGCGCACACAGCGGTCCCCCAGGCGGAACTCATGGTGGCCCGCAGGGTGGTCCTGCCCATGACCAACTCAGAGAAGGTGTGTGAGGGCGTCCCTCCTCTCCCCTCCCCTTCTCTCCTTTCCTTCTCATCTGTTAGAATGAGACAAAGGGCAAACTTGACTCTGGCTGAAAGAGCTTCACCGAATTTTACAAAAAGGAACAAAACACCCCATGAAGCGTTGGTGCAATTTTTGGAGCATGTGCCAGGCTTGGGCATCGCTGCATCTTGTCGGGCACGTGTCATTCACCTGACGGAAACAAAGCCACCAGAAAACCGCGGATCGGTCCCGTCTGTGCGGCGTGCTCACGGGATCAGCTCCGTGCCCGCAGGCCAGGCGCCCCTCTTCCGTGGATGTGGCCTCTGTGACTGTGCCTTTCTCCCCCGAAGGCCACGGGTGCAGGGTCACCCTGTCTGCCTGTCACCCCTCCAAAAAGATAAGTGCTCTTTAAGTCAAAATCCCCATGTCACCAAGAATCAGAGGGAGGACAGGCAGCCTCAGAGGGAGACGTCAGAGAAAATGGAACTATTTCGTACATGTTGGTTCTCGTGGTCTGTTCTGGGGGAAGCCGGGGTCCGAAGCTGAAGTGAGCGCTGGGGCCTCTGGGTCCAAGCAAAACCAGAATGGAATTTGTTCTGATGATTCAGGTAACAAACGGAGTTGCCATGTTCCCACAGACAGCGCCTGGTTGGTAGAGAATCCAGGGCAATCAATTCTGACTGGGAAGCCCGCTGCCAGGCTCTCCCCGTGGGCGGCCCCCAACCTCGGCAGCCCCCCGCACCCTTGGCAAGGTGCTTGGCCCCGCGTCCGCCACGTGCCTGCTCGCTGTAATTCATCACTTCCGGGCCTCCAGATTATTCTGGGACTGATTAAATTAGCAAATGCAATCACAATCTGAAGCAAGTTAATTGAGAGAATTTATTTGGGCCTGACAGTTTTATGCATGTTTGATGAAGTATTAGAAGGTTTGTCTTTGATTTTGCATAATTTAACTTTAAATCCTGCACTGGGGAGGCCATCAGCCATTAACGACCAAAATAAACCTCTTTGAAGATGCATCTATTTACGATTTATTTCTGAACACAGCGTCTCTCAGATTTTTTTGGTGCTGTTGCCAAAATGACAAATATGTTTAAAGTAACATTTCCAGCCCCTCGGTCCACCCTATAAATCTGCCGGAATGTATGCAATTCATTAAAAGTTTTGAAAGAAGTACAAGTTAGCATTTATATTGCAACAAGTGACTCGTAAATGCGTATGCTTGTCTTCCCAGCTCGCCATAAAACACACCCACGGCGCCGGCTCCGGGGAGCCACACGAATCGCCCCCACTCCACGGCCGAGAGAGGCCCCACCACAAATCTTCACTCTTGTCAGCGCAGAACTGTTCCTTCAACACGGGTCTGAGTTGTGTCTTTTGTGAAATTAGCACAGGAGAAAATACAACCGGCCTGGGCCTGGGGACTTGGGTGGCCCTGGAAGGGGCGAGCCGGAGCTTGAGCACTAACCTTGACCATCCGGGGACGGATCCCCAGGGACGGCCAGGACCACCAAGAAGATCTGCTGTGTCCTCCTTCTTCCCAAGGGGAAGGGCTCAGGCCCCGTCCGTCCACTAGTTAAGTCCTTGACGTCGTCTGAGTGAGCATTTCTCGGCTTCTCCAATGCAGCATCTATTGAGCGTTTATCCTGCCCTGGATTCCCTGGATGATGCAAAGTTACCGTGGTTGGCTGCTAACAGAAAGGTTGGAGGTTCGAGTCCATCCAGTGGTGCCTCAGGAGAAAGGCTTAGTGATCTCCTTCTGAAAAAATCAGCCACTGCAAACCCCGTGGAACACAGTTTTACTCCGACACACGTGGGGCCGCCAGAAGTCGGAGTTCGACTTGGCAGCAGCTGATTATCCTGGCCTGGGCCCTGGCGCCACCAAATCCTCACTCAGAGCCACTGGTGCCACGCTGCCAGGACCTCCGCTCACAGGTGAGGACGTGATGACACTTAGGAAGGGGGTGTGGTTGACCTGACCATGGCATGGTCTGACAGCTTGGGGAAGAAGGGTAGGGATGCTTCTGCATCAGGGCAGCCATCTGTAATCCAAGCGCCCTGGACCATCCACCTCACTGGTAAAGCCCAGCAAACACAGGTTTCTGCGCAGCCGCCCAGCACCCAGCTGCATGGAGCAGACCGCTGCAGCTCCATCCTGCCCAAAGGAAGAGTACCTCAAAGGGATAGGATCGAACCCGGTATGTGAATGTCCGTGGAAGCACTGGGCCTGAGTCCCCACAGCCCTCTGGCCGCCCTTTTTTACTGTGGTAAAACATAAGACCAGGAAATAAATGTGCCATTGTAACCATGTTTAGATGTGTAATTCGGTGGCATTAATTACCTTCATCACGTTGTGCAACCATCACCACCATCCGTTTCCAAAACTTTCTCAGCCCAAACAGGAACTCAGCACCCCGTCAAGAACCCCCCTGCTCCCTTCCCTGCAGCCCCTGGCCGCCACAAGTCAACCCTGGCCTCTGCGCACGTGCCTGTTGTGGGTGTTTCACAGGAGGAGGGTCGTGCGATAGTTGGCCTGTGGCTGGCGCTTCACTCAGCACGTTGTCAAGGTTCGTCTGTGTCACGGTGTGGACCCGGACACCGTCCCTCTCCGCGGCCGAGCAGTGTTCCATCGTACGTATAGACCACATTTGTTTCTCTCTTCATCTGTGGGTGGACACGGTGGTTTCCACCTTTTGGCTATCGTGAACATTGGTGTACATGTCCCACCGAGGCCCACCCGCGGACACAGGGAGGTAAGTGCTTATGAGCGCAGGGCTGGCCATCCACGCCGAGCAGCCCCGGGACCCAGGCCTGTGCTGCCATTCGAAGGTCAGACAGACCTGACCCTCTGGGTGCTTCACATACACTGCACGGATGGCCAGCAGGTGGTGCCACCCCATTGGCTAAGCCGCCGGAGGTGGGAGGGGGGTGTCCCAGAGACCAAGGTGGGCCAAGCCCCCATGCCAGCGCAGGCCTGCGCAGCACCCCTCTGCAAGAGAGGAAGCTGGGGCTCAGAAGTCTTCCTGGACGACCAAGGCTATGTTGGGAGGGGGGGGGGTCGGACCCCTGGGCTGAGCCCAGACCCTTTGCAGGGCTCTCGGCCCTCGGGTCACCCTGCACACCTTGCAGGGGACAGGGCAGAGACCCGGGGGCCAGGCAGGCAGGAAGAGGTTTGCGTGGGGTGAGGAGCCAGAGGTGGGCGTCTGCTCCTCAACTGCAGAGTTGCTTTAATCGGGTTTCATCTGTTTCCACCAAGTGTGCACTGCCAGGAGCCCCAGTGACGTCCTCTGACCGTTCGGTGCCTCTCCTGCCACTCGCCCAGGTCCACCTGGGCCACCCGCACAGCCCCGTCCTTGGAGAACTCCCGCCCCGCAGGGCACGGACAGGTCAGGGACCAGCCTTTCTAAAGAAGGAATAGAACGCATCAGAGGGCCTGGTGAGGAAACGCGGTGTTTTCGGAAGCTTCTCCTGAAGTTATTCAAACGTGTGCCCGATGTGGAAACAGCACCTTACTGTGGGCCGTGGTTAAGAACTTGGAGCGGCCACAGGCGCAGACCCAAGAGGAAACTGGTGTGATTTTGCTCCCGGAAGGAGGTCAGATCCCCACCAGTTGGAGGCGGCTTCCCCGAAGAGGGGCTGCTTGAGCTGGGTGTTGAAGAGTAAGGAGGGGCTCCGCATGGGGCAGGGGAGGAAGAGAAGCAAGCACAAGAGGGCTACGGAGGAGGCCCGAGAGCCTCTTCTCCTCGGAAAGCGCGCCCCAGCCTTCAACTCCCCCGACCCCCAGGCACCACCACTGCCTACTGCCCTGCCCCAGACCTGAGCAGCTCCACGGCACCTGTCCGAGCGCCCTTCGTCTGTCCCCCCTCTGTCAGGGCCTCGGCGTGTGGCCCCGGGGTCTCCCCTCTGCCACCGCAGCCCTCTCCTCCCAGGACCCGGGCATCCCGCGGACGGCAGAGGTGCCTTCCTGCACGGCCGCAGCGGAGCCCCCGGCCCTCTCGGGTCCGGCTCGCCTGCCGCGCCCCAAAGCCCGACGGCTGCAGATCCCTCTAGGCGCGCCCCCGGGTGCCCGGCACAACGGGGCTTCGGCCGGCCGCCTTCCTCGGGGCCTGGGGCAGCTTGAGGTCAAACGTTCTCCCCGGGCCTGAGAAAGATGCCACCAACAGCTCCTCCCCCCGGCCATGTGCCTGCGCACTGCCTACTGACTCCGAGCGCAACGGCGCGTGCGCGGACGAGCCGCCCGGGGACGGCGTGGGTAGGCCCACTATCTGCGCTTGCGCAGGACAGGCTCCGGAGCAGGCAGAGTACGTGTGGGTGACGTCACGGGCGGCTCGCAGCGCACGCACGCACGCCGCCCTGGGAAGCGTCGAGTTCCAGGACGCCAGCTTAGGCCCGCGAAGGGGATAAGGAGGAGCTGCTCAGTGTGGGGCGCGGAGGGGGGGGCGGGGTGAGAGGAGGACTCTACGGTGGCCGCAGAGGGACGCGCTACGGCGCCCACGCTGGGCCAAACGCTGCCGCCGGCCGGGTCCCAGCGCCCCTTCGCCTACGGGGCGGTCCCGGGCCGGGACGCGTGAGACCGGACCCCGGCGGCCGCCTAGCCTGGCGCCCCGCGCCCTCGCACTGATCGCGCGGGGCTGCGCGCCCTCGGCACCATGCGGCCGCCCTGCTCTTCGCGCCCCGAGGAAGAGGGGAGCCCGCAGCTCCAGCCCCCAGCATCGTCGCCGGCCTCCCCAGTGGCTCCGGACGCCGGCGCCGCCGCGGAGAGGGCACCCGGTGAGCAGGCCGAGGGCGGCTGGGGAACTCGTCCAGGGCAACGGCCGGCCGGGGGCGGAAGTGGTGGCGGGACCGGCGGGCTGTCTCCAGGGCAACGGGCCGGGCGGGGCGCGCGGGACCCGGAAGTGGCTGGGGGCCCGCGAGTTGCCGGATGTGCACCCGGTGTGCCAGCCCCGAGAGGCCGGCGACGGCTCGGGGACCGGGCCGGGCGTACCCAGGCCAACCGTGGTCCTGATCCCGGCAGCCTCCAGGAGCGGCGCCTGGGGCCCGCTCTGCCGACACCCCGAGCGCGGGGCCTCCTGTGGGTCCCGGGGAGCTGCGGGCACCGCCCCTGTTAGAGGGGAGCAGGCCGAAATGCGGCCATCGCTGGTTTCAGACCCAGCACTGATTATAGCTGTTTATCTGGGGATCTAAAGTGCCTCCCACACACAAGCAATTACGCCTCCTAGGTCTCCTGTGGCCCATGGAAGACATTATTCTTGTTGGGGATCAGGCGGTAAAGCCCTGGGGACTCGACCCGAGTCTACTCCAAAATGAGGGCCCTGCTGTGGGCTCTTCAGCTGTCCCCCCACCCCAAGTGCCGCACTGCCACCGTTACCTGCCCTGAACTGGACCGGGACAAACTTGTAGGCACAAATTCCTCGAGCGGTGACTTTTGGGGGGAGGAGGGAGTGGTGGGCAGGGCCCAGGTGAGGTCCTCGCGTGGATGCACAAGGCCTTGGTTAGCGTGAACTGTGCAGGAGGCTTTGAAGGGTTGTGCAGTGAGTTAAAACGATAAGTTTACTAGTCACTGTGATCACGTCGTGGTGGAAGAGCCCAGTCATCTGTGAGTGACGCTCAGGTGAGAGGGCGTTGCTGGCCCCGCCGGCACAGCGCCGCCTCTGTGGCCCGGTCCCCTCAGCGCTGTGGAGGGAGAGGGCATTGTGGTTTCCTTGGCAGTGGCAGGCTTGAGACGTGCGGTGAAGCTTCAGTAACGCGGCCACCCCTTGGGTTACCAAAAAACCAAACCAAACCCGTTGCTGTTGAGTTGATTCCAACTCACAGCGACCCTATGGGATAGAGCAGAACTGCCCCATACGGTTTCCAAGGAGCACCTGGTGGATTCCAAGTGCTGGCCTTTTGATTAGCAGCCATACATAGCTCTTAACCACTGCACCACCAGGGTTTCCCCCCTTGGATTAGGTGGCGTTGTATAAGTGCTCTCGTCAGAGGAGAATAAAGAAATGGGATGCCCGGGAGAAAGAGGGCGAAAGCAGGCGCGAGGACACCCTAGGGAGGTGGTGGGGGAGGCCCGGGCGGGTCACGGGCACTCCCTGTGCCTGGGGTGGCCGCCGGGGGTAGCTAGCAGGAGCGCGGCACCCGGACTGAAGTTGGGCAGCGTCCTTAGCAGTGGCCCCTCATTCTGTCACTGGCCTTCCCCAGGGCTTACACTTCCTGTGCTTGTAGTATTTTAGTTCCATCCACAAATGACTTAGGCGATCATTTATTAGGGGAAAACAGAACCATCTGCTGTTTCTCAGAGAAAAAAAAAAAAGCCCACTATTGTCATATTGATTCCTGCTCTTAGTGATTCTATAGGACAGTAAAACTGTCCCATAGGGTTTCCAAGGCTGTAATTTTCATGAAAGCAGACTGCCACATCTTTCTCTCTCAGAGCAGCTGGTGGGTTCCAACTGCAGACCTTTCAGTTAGCAGCCAAGCGCTTAACCACTGCACCACCAGGGCCCCTTTTATTCCTGAGAGCCCCTGGCAAATAGAATAGGCATGGTCGGTGGTGGCCTGTGCCCATGGTGACAACACCTGCTGTCGTCCCACTGCCTTTATTAGACCGCTTGCTAAACCCTGGGAAGGTGGTGATGTCACACGAGCGTTCAGGCCCAGCAGGGGACCCTGAGCCCCGCCCCCACGGCCTGGCCCCGCCTGGCCCCGCCCCCACGGCCTGGCCCCGCCCCCAGCAGTGGCGTGTGGAGTTGCAGAGGTGAACCCCTCCCTCCCTAGTTGGTCACCTGGCCGCGCCCTGAGTTCTCTTCAGCTGGAGGCACCCTCTGCCTCTGTCCTGGTCCTCTCTGGCTCCCTGTGAGGGACCGTGGAGGCCTGTGATCTCCGGGTAAAGCAGCCCCAGTTGGCAGGGAGCATGAGAAGTAAAAGCACGGGGTGAACCGAGCAGTGGGGCCGTGCAGAGCCATCGGAGAGTGAGGGTGGCCTGCATGAGGCCTCTCGCAGCCCTACCTGGCTCATGCCCCCTGCTGCAGCTGTCAGGATGGGCCTGGGGACCCCGGCTGGGGGAGGTCCTGGCCCTTCTTCCCAGCACTGGGAATGGACTGGGTGCTTCTGGTCTTGCACGTCGGTGGGTCCCTTCTCAGTATCCTCTGGCGTTTGTGACAGGGAGGGCCCACACTCTGGCCAGGGTGTTCCCGGCTGACTGCCCCCTCTCCTGCCCTCTCCCTTGCAGGCCAGCACTTCCCCGGAGCCTCAGCCGTGGGCTCCCAGGCCTAGGGGCCCATGACGCCTACGCTGACTGCCACCTGGCCGAGCTCGCGCCACAGGGCCCCAATGCCTGTCATCCCCATCCCGCGGCGGGTGCGCTCCTTCCACGGCCCGCACACCACCTGCCTGCACGCGGCCTGCGGACCGGTGCGCGCCTCTCACCTGGTGCGCACCAAGTACAACAACTTCGACGTCTACCTAAAGACGCGCTGGCTCTATGGCTTCATCCGCTTCCTGCTGTACTTCAGCTGCAGCCTGTTCACGGCGGCGCTGTGGGGCACGCTCGCCGCCCTCTTCTGCCTGCAGTACGTCGGCGTGCGCGCACTGCTGCGCTTCCAGCTCAAGCTGTCGGTGGTGCTGCTGCTGCTCGGCCGCCGCCGCGTCGACTTCCGCCTGCTCAACGAGCTGCTCATCCACGGCATCCACGTGACTGTGCTGCTGGTCGGCGGCCTGGGCTGGTGCTTCATGGTCTTCGTGGACATGTGAGGCGTGCATGTGGCCCCTTCCTGGTTCGGGGACACCTGTGGCCCCAGTCTCCCCTCGGCAGGGAGGCCGGGTCCTTGGAAGCCTTACTGCCCCACCGTTCCACAGAAGGCGCGGGAGGCTTCACCTGCCGTTCCCGCATCTTCAGCACAGGAGAGAAAAGGGCTGAGACTTGTTTCTGCAAAGGGGACGCGCGGCACAGCCCGTGTCTTTCTGCTTCCCCCTCCTGTGTGTGCACTTAGGTAGGTGCTGCGTCCCCTCACGTGCCTGTGCCTCTTGTGTCCAGCTTGGTCAGGTCGTCCTGGGTGTGGGGCCCATCATTCGGCTCTTGGAGGCCTCCTTGGGGCTCCCCAGCACCCTTTCTGGAACCACCTATGGTGTGACTTTACCCACCCCCAGTGGTATGGGAGATCCTCAGCCCCTGGATGGCAGTGCTGCCAGGAGCAAACTTGGAGGGTTCACCTTCCCACCCCACCCTTTCTGTGCCGCCCAGCCAGCGTGCAGCCGCGCCTCCGCTCGCTGACTGCTGCACCGCCACCAAGCTCTGCATCCCCCCGCCCCGGCAGCCAGTGTCCGGGCACAGGCCTCAGCCCCCTCTGTCTGTCCCCCACGTCCCGGCACAGCCCTCAGTCTCCTCTGTCTGTCCCCAGCATGCTGGCACAGCCCTCGGCCTCCTCTGTCCCCAGCATCCTGGCACAGCCCTTAGCCCCCTCCGTCTGTCCACAGCAACCCAGCATAGCCCCCTCTGCCTGTCCCCAGTGTCCCAGCACAGCCCTCAGCCCCCTCTCTCTGTCCCCAGTGTCCCAGCACAGTCCTCGGTCTCCTGTCTGTCCTCAGCATCTTGGCACAGCCTGTGGACAGGGGACAGTGGGCACTTCGGTGAGTGGAAGGGGCCTTTGAGTAATGGCAGATGCTGAGGACCCAGGATGTAGGCCCCAATGTTGAGGATGACGAGTAGGCAGTGCTGGTCTCACCCTGGAGGGTGGTCATCCCCACTCCCCTCCCCCTGCCTCCCAGGCAGACAAGTGGCCAGAGCGACTTGTCAGGACCCTTGTGGGCCACCAGAAGAGAAACCTCGAAAAACCCAAATCAGGTACAGAAAGCAAAAAACCCTCGGCTGTGCCACCGTGCTCTTGACTCTGGTCGGCTCCTGCTCCATGTGCCCCGACGCTGCATCAGTGGGGCTCGCCGGGTGGGGCTGCTTCCCCAGGTGGGTCTGAGTGAGCAGGTGGCCCCGGGAGCCGCCGCAGGGAGCCTTTGCACTAAATCATGTGCTGCTCGGATCCGCAAAGTCCTTCCTCCAGGAGGGTGCGGCAGGCACAGGGCCAGGTGGCGGGGAGGGGCTGCACAGCAGGGCCCGGGTAACATCCCGTCCCACCGACCTGACAGGGCATCTGAGTGCCTGTGAGATTCTCTACAAACCGAACCACCTGCATTAAACTTAATTTTCCTAACATCTGGGTGGAGTGAGTGCTTAAAGCCGAACAGCTGTCTTAATTATTTTGGTGTTGAGAATGTACACAGCGGAACGTACACCGATCCGAGTTTCTGCCGACACAAGTCAGCGACACTGATGTGTTCGCAGAGTGTGGCCTCACCCCCGTTCCTGCGGCCTTTCTTGCCCGTCAGCGTAAACTCGCCGCCCCTCAGGTTCCCTTCTCATGTTTGGAGTCGCTGTTGTCAATTTGATCCCAGACTGACTCCTTGGTTTTCTTTAAGGATATTATAACTAATCAAAACACCTGTGCATGCCAGTGTCACCTGCCGACTTGGGGACGTTTTTAAACGAGTTGGCTGCGGGGTGTGGGCTGACGTGGCTGCAGAGGGTGCCTCTGGCTGCGAGCCTGCTGCAGGAGCCTGTTTGGGGCTGGTCGGAATTACAGGCCGGCCACCTAGTGCTGTCCATAGCCAGGACCCCTGAGTCCCTTGGGAGGCGCCTGGTGGGTCCCAGGTGGCCACCTTCACGGGCAGAACCGTCTGGGTGTTCCAGTGACTGACGAGATCTAGAGGTGGCCGTGCCTGTGGTGCGCTGTGGAATGGCATGGCGCTCACTGTAGATGCAACGAGCTCTCAAGTTTGGGGAAAACGGCCCGTGCTCAGAAAGACAGGAAGAAAAAAATAACCAACCAGAGTTGCAGTTCTTGTCTAACCAAAAAGCAGTTTGAAAAAGGAACCACGTCATTATCTAGCATCACTGTTCCCTAAAGGGCACCCTTGCGTCTTTGAAAGGGAAATTGGCGAGCTCCTTCTTTTCCCACGGGCAGATTTCTGTCTTCCAACATGATGATGGTGACGATGATGATTGTCCTTGAAAGCAGCCTTTGACCAGAAGATGTCACCTGAGAGGAAACTTGGTTCAGTTTACATGTCGACATCTCTGTCGCTTTTCGAGCTTGTGTGGCACCAGAAGGAAACAGCGCGGGTCACTTTGGGATGTAGCCTGTGAGCCTGTGATGGCAAGAATTCCCAGCATCCTCACAAAGCCCCCACCCCTAGTGCAGGAGGCTCAGAAGGCTGAGCCCACCTCACATACCTGGCCCGAGGGTCTTCATTCTCACACACTCCTGCGATGGCGAGCTGGGTGCAGGGCAGAGGCTGCTGTGCAAGGGGCCTTGAACCCATATCTGGGTGGGTCAGACAACCCACCCCCTCGGTAAGTTCCTCCACTCCTTTCCTGCCCCTCTCCTCCCCCTCCTCCT